GAACCTGGAGTAAGTTTCCATTTGCTCTAAAAGATTAGATCATTTTTCAAGAAAGCTAGGTGCAACCAGAGAGCTGCTTCTGCCAGACTGCTCCAAGGAGAATAAGTAAAACACGCATGACTCTGATGAGGAGAGAGAGAGAAAAAAACACCCATTCCTTTTTTGCAGTAGCCTGTGTTATAACCAGTGATAAGGACAGGATAGAGACAAAAAAATTCCACTGAAGAAAATAAAGATGAAGAGTGGAAGTGCAGCCCCATCAGACAAAACCTAGAACAGAGCAGAGCAGGGTCTGGCAGTCTCACCATTTAGAAATCAACCTTTACCTCCCCTCTCAGCCTGCTGGGGCTTAGTAGAAAACCTCTGAATTTAAATCAGGCTGATCATACAAGAATAGTTGCACTTTTTGTATGAGGGAGCCACTTAACTCTTTGTCCATTACTCAGAAAATAATGATAGAAAAACGAACCACAACTTCAAACACAAGCATCGATTGTTCTGGGCAGGTCATGCCTGTATATGGTACGCAGCACTGCTTTTTAAAAAGGGTCCATCTCCAAAACACAAACAGCTTTGATGTTTTATCAAAGCCCATGCTTTTCTGAGTGGATGCTCCCTCAATGAGACAGCATGCTGTACAGCATTCATTTTAAACAAATCATGGTATTAGCTAACACATGGAGATTGATGCAAAGATTAAGCAAGTGAATGGCAGTGGTTGCAATAGAGTACTCAGGTGGTGCTTTCAAATGGAAGTGTGCATACCTTGAGAGGAAGCATGAAGTGAAATGAGAGCAAATTAGGAACAAGAGAAAAACAAAGCATTATTTTGTACAATTCACATTCGTCTAGCAGAACATTAAGACTGGCACATAAATTCTTAACTTTGGTCAACATAGTCTGAATTTTCCCTCTATACTACAAAGTGTTTGTTGTTATTTATAAAACATAATAACAAATTTGGCTGAACTTATGAACTTCTTTCTGGCAGAATCTGAATCCCTACCATCCCCTTTTCTTCCAAACACACACATAATTTGCCCCACACAAAGCTTCAAGCCAACTTCTGCCCTTGTATCACCAGCAAGCCCTCTGTCTGGACAGAGCTGCCTGGGGTGTACATTTGTGCAGGACTTGGCCACGTGACCCTAACCTCAATTGACAAGTTTGAACACAATAATTGTATTTAAAGGTCTAGCTTGAAATATCCCATTCTCTCACCATAGGAACGAACAGTGGGGCTTTCCAGTGCACGTGGGTACCGAACTCTCATTAGTGCTTCTGAAAATCCCACTAAATGTCATTCCTGTTGCCTTTAATAGGAGTCACTTGGATCTTAAACTAAGAGAATAAGGCCTTAGAACGCTACAGCCTTAAACTCCCAGATTCATGTGACACTTTTTAATAAATACCTTTCTTTTATGTCAACAATTGATTACTCTATCAGTCCAGGAATGGTCCATCCTGGGCTAGGTGACCTGGCAACCCTACAGTTCTTTGATTCATTCATCTGCATGAATAAAGAGCAAAGGAAAAGGCATTGTCTCAGCCTGGAAGGAAATTATTTTGCTCAAACTAAGTTATACATTTGATTGTGTTTGGAGCTCCTTTTTATTTCTTGTACATAGCCTCTCTTCCAAGAAGCCAAGGAAATCTATGTTTGATCCACCAAGACACACCATGATTCTGACTACCTTAGCGTACTATGTTGAAAACATAATATTCTTTTGACAGCAGAACAAAATTGTGGGTTTCGTAGTCGGGTGGACTTTATGCTATATGATTCCAGTTAGATGACTCCTATTAAATACGGAGAGGAGAGTATAGGGATATATCCTCTGGAATATCCATTCAAAATACTCACCCAGTACAGATCTAACTAGCCATTAGATGTCACAGTTGTTCCACACAAAGGCAGCTGAAAGAGCCTTTATCAGGAAGTACAAAAGTGATCTCTCCAGACTGCTTGTTGGCATCTCTCTAAAAGTGTTGTACACTCTCACACAAGAAATGTATCCAGACAAAACTCACAATGGAGGAATAAACCCCTTTTAATGGCAATAAAACAATATGAAACATTCAATATAATCAAAACACTATGAATGATGTAACCCTCTTAAAAAAAGTATGGATTCAAAATGGAATGCTTGGGAATCGTCTTTTTATAGGGAAAATAAACTAGACATTAAATCAACTAAAATCAACTGAGCCCTCAAAGTAACAGTGTTTCTGGAATTTAAAATGAAAATTATTAAATTTTTCTTTTTGATTAAAAAAATCATGCAGCTGTCTAGCCACGTGTTACCTTTGTGGATAACAAATTAACTGAACAATGTCTTCAAATGAGGTGTCATGTATTGAATTGCCAGTTTTTGCTGGACATATATAATAAATAGATTTACTTCCTAGGTCTTTCTAAGGCACCTATAATTGTAGTGTTGACAAAAAATAAAATACGTTCCATCATTATGCAAAATACAGAAGGCTGAATATGTCAAAGAATCACATGAGAGCTTAACAAAAATCCTATGCACTTCTATTTACTGTCAATAAACAGGTCGTGTGGAAACAGTGTAATGCCTGCAGCTTTCCATGTGATGTCTCAATGCTTATTTCCCGGTCTTTTGAATTGGGCAAACCCATGGTCAACAGCAATTTAAATGCTATCACTATTAGTTATTTTTGGCAGCAAGCAAAAAGGCATAGTTTCATTACAAATTTGGAGATCAAGGCACAAACATAGTATATAGACATGAGGAATAGGCTAAAAGCTATGGATATAGAGTGAGAAAGCATACCGGAACATTTACCCATTTAACAGATTCCTTGATAAAATGAATGTGTGCACATACTTAGGAAAATGTGCTTTGTGTGTCTATTTCTGCTATTTTTTTTTGGAAAAAGGTAATATTGGGCACATGTACACGTGTGTTAACGCATTTTCCTAATGTGCACTAAATTTAGTACCTCCAACATGGGGTACTAAATAAATGTGCACTAGGCTGCGCTAATGCATAGTAGCACAAGCGTGCCTTTTTTAGGTAATGTTTAATGCACAGTAGCCTATTCTACAGTAGCCTGTATTGGCATGGTTTTTTTACACGCTACTTTAACACACAGTAGAATAGGCTACTGTGCATTAAAACACACGTGTAAATGCACCCATTAAAATCAACTGGTTTTTTAACTGTTAAAATACACACATTACAAGCACTGAAAGATAACAGGACCTCTCCAGCATCTCTGCATGCCTTGGATTCTCACTGAAGTGAATAGGACATTTGGGTGCGCAGGAATGAAAGCTCAGCACCTGTACTAGACTATAACAGGTAAAATTCAGGGTCTTTGCAGTCCATGGGAGTCTTACCTCTGACTTAAATATGGCTATGCTCTCACCCACAATTTCTATTATTCTATAGATTATGAAAGTCTGGTATTTTTTCAAAGTCTTTCATACTGTCTTCTTATTGAGAAGGGCACAAAAAACATCTGGCTATATCTGGTTTGAACATGAGCACTTATTAAGAAAATATTTGGCTCTTTCAAGCAAATTCACAGCTCCTTTAACAAAGTTGTTAATAAAGTCCATATGGCTTATGTTAAATCAAGATGTATTTTCTATAATCACAGAAACTATACACTAAATTAAAAAATATATACTATATTCTATACAATACCAGTTAAGACTCCTTGGAGTAAAATTGCATGGATTTACTGTTCATCACAGACGTTTTCTAACAATGTATCTGTAGAAATATTTTATCGGGATATTTGAAGAAAACATTTGAAGTATACATTGTTCAATCAGAATTTCACCACTCTGCAATGGCTCTCATGTTTTTCCTTTAAAAAAAGCAATAAAATTCTACGATCTTAAGATCAATGTTGTGAAATAAATTAGAACTAACATTGAATAGGGTTTACTAATGCCTTATTCAGAAAGACTGTTTTCATGAATAAAAAAAGCAATTTTATAAAAACTGGCAACACTTACTAGAAGGCCACGTTGACTATGAAAACAAGGACACTAGGCTAGACTAGATTTCCATAATGATACATAAACAGTACAATACAGAAACAATTCTTAGAGGGCCACATATGGAGAAATGAACATATGAAACATGACGGTAAACAAATTAGTAACGAAGGAAAGGATGGTGCAACAGAAACAAAAAATAAAAAAATAAGGTACAAAGGAAAATGAAAAGGTTAGCATAAGCTATGGCTGGCATGGAGGTGTTTTAAAGTGCTGCTGCATGTGGTTTTTGAAGGAATCAATTCTTATTTTGCAAAGCAGAATAAATATGTTATATGCACCAAGCAGATGACCGTAAAATGAGATATGCAGCAAAAACACGGTAGCCCTCCAAGCATTGCAGAAAATGTAAAACCCTATGCATTTTACAGTCTCAACATGGTGTATATAAGTTTTTGCAGAAATGCATGAATGGCATTAAAAGCAATGCCACCCACACACCAGGTGAATGTCGGCAAGCATAGCGGCTTGATGATGAAGAGCTTAGCATTGGATGAAATGTTAAACAAAAAATTTGGAATTAGAAAAGTTGAAAAAATAACATATATGCACCATGGCATCAGCAAATGACCATAAAATGCAAAAAGGTGATGGAGTGATATGGAACAAACCTTGGAGAAATATCGCATCCTTGCTGCATAAAGGCACCCAGGGAAAACCAAAGGCTGTTAAATATTCCAAACTCATTTGGAGGGTCAGGAGGGTTCTGAGGGTCACGTGGCTCTTCATTGTTGTCTTCCAAATGCCATTCATAAGGGCTGAATCTGCTGACTAGGAAAAGAACTACGCTGACTCCAATATAAGCAAAGACTATACACATCCAAATTTCATAAGCCAAAGGATCCAGAAAGGAGAATACTCCAGGCTTAGATTTCTGAGGCTTCTTGATCATGATGGAGATGCCCAGGCTCATAAAAGGCTTTGAAAAGTCTATGACTTCTTCTCGTACAAGTGTTATGGTGAGTGGGGCAACGGCTATATCTGCTCTCTGAAAAGACAGAACATATTGAGATGAGTTACATAGCAGCCACACATATTTGCAATCTGCAGTCTCAAACCAGATCACATAATAAAGGAGAAGAAGAATCAACAGGCTAAAAGTCTTTGCAAACTGCCTATACTTTGCTGTTGTTAAAATGACTTAATTTTCCATCACCAACAAAATATTATGTATACCTCTCTCTGAGGGGTCCAGCAAGGAGGGACACTTCTATCTTATGTACATTTGTTGTTCTATGCAATTAAGATGGGTGAAGGATAAACACAGTAATTTGGACAATGAAATTATAGCTAATTCTACACTTCCTGCAAATAAGGCGGTCTGTGTAATACGGTCTTAATATAATCTTCACAGAGAATGTACATTAAGGTCCAGAACAGCCCTAAACTGCCTTTAAACTAAAATCAAAACCTGTGATTCAAGGGAATGATTTGGTGGATTGAAATCTCACGGAGATTATTTTGATGAGGGCCTTTTTGATCCCCTTTCTCTTCCACAAGTTGTGTGATGGTATTTTCTTGTGTCTCAGGCGAGGATGATATGAACAATAACAGCGTATGGGTGATCCACTGACGTTCACTTTGTCACAGGCTTAAGTATATTGCTGGTCACTAGTACCTGTCTTTACACACAAATCCATCACTTACGGTATCTAGCTGGCATGATTTATAGCTGCAGTAACCTGTATGCCCCTAAATGCAGGTGGGGTTAGTAAAAGAGCTGCAAGAAAAAGGACCGGGCCTTTTAAAAAAGTAGTTAAACCCCACAGGTTTTGAGAATGTATGTTGTATTTTTCATAAAAAGGCTACTTGGCAATATATACTTATTTTAAACCTTTGGTATAATTTAAAGACTCCCTAGCAATTGATAAATATTGACATTATTTAATCAGCTGATGACATCTCACTGATAATGAAGAATTTCTGAAACGTCCAACAAGCAGTGTGCAAGAACAGTTTAGATGATCAGTCTCTAAAACACTGTGCACCATGGCAGTCAGATTTCTGTTTCCAGCTGTGAAGTAACTATCTTTGCCCAATGAAAGCGGCTTCAGTTGAAGTTGAGAGTAGCAGTTGATAGGAAAGGTTAATAAGAGCTGATTAAAATCAGTGCCATAAAAGAAGTGAATATTGCCTTTATTTAAATCCGACAGTGATGTTCATTTCAGCACTTGATTTATTGCTCACGTTAGAGAGGGCCTTTTGGAAGTTTAATAAGTGTAGAAGAAGAAGCAGACTGTACAGCTAGTCACAATGACACAACCTGTTTACCTGCCAGTACAACTGCAAAATCAAGTGTATAGGATGTTCTCTAGATATCTTTCATTAACATTAAAATTGATTTCCCTGGTTATGTCTATGTGAAGACTGCTGTACTAGGCCTGATATAGGCCTGATTATCTCAGCTTTCAATATGAGCAAGCATATTGCTCATAGAGCAAAACACCCCACATTGGCTCAGTGTGCTGAATTACTGGGTACATGCACAAGTGCACCAGGTTGAATAAGCAAACAAGCGCCCTTACCAATTTTGTAGATGCAAGTAAGGAAGATCTTTGAAAAACTGGTCCTTTACATATATTCTTAGAAGACTTTTATGTGTACTATACATGTCAACTTGCACACTTGAAAGATTACTCTTCATTCAGGAAGAACATCCACAACTGACCTTTGGTCATTTGTTAGTCCAACATCTAATTTGAAGTGGCTCAAATTAAAAAATGGAGAACTAAATTTGCTTCTGGGAGGCCAGGCATGTATTGCGAATATGGTTCAGGTACACGGACATACAAAACACAGTTCATGTACATGGTGGTGCAACTTTTATGGGGGGCAGTTTACCTAAGAATCCAGTAAAGAAACTGTAAGGTTCTGGGACTAATTTAGCAAAGTCAGTACATATATAGGTGACACAGTACATGTGTTTCACTATGATGAAGCAATAAAAACCCACGGCTTGATTGGCAGATGAGCTGCAGTAAAGGGGTCAAGTGCAGAAACATTTTGGTATGCTTGAGGAATATTACTCTTTGCTACATCTATAAAGGTAAGGATTGATTATCTAGAGTGATATTTCAGGATTTTTCGAGACGATAAGCCTGCTGTTCTGTTTTGCGCTGACAGCAGAGTTTTTGAAGGCTAAAATCTTATGTGGACTATATCACTACCTTATTTATATTGAGGAACCTGTTAGAATCCATGTGCCAGCAATTGATTTTAAATGACGTTATGTTGACCCTAATCTTCTGTCGCTGAGAGGAAGGCTTGGTTTTACTTTTAAACGATGTAAATCAAAGTAAAGTATTACAGAATAATTTCAGACATGAGTTACCACTATTTATATCTGTCACATATTTTGTGGGCAGCGTCCATGTTTTGCAATGAATTTTAAGTACTTTTCTCTGCTAATATTGATTCTGGAGGTCAAGCTGGATGCTAAAACCAAAGCAACCCCTCCAATTAAATAAACACATAAAAAAACATACCAGAAGACACCTCTCTTCCACCCCCCACCCCCCCCAACAAACAGAGGAGCAACATGTTTTGCAATGAATTTTAAGTACTTTTCTCTGCTAATATTGATTCTGGAGGTCAAGCTGGATGCTAAAACCAAAGCAACCCCTCCAATTAAATAAACACATAAAAAAACATACCAGAAGACACCTCTCTTCCACCCCCCCACAACAAACGGAGGAGCAAATGTTAAAAGAGGAAACAATTGTGAGGATATAATATAAAAAAATAAAATCCTTGCTGATGATCACAACTCTAAAACTGGTACAAGTAAAGGGTAAGAGGTCTGATCCCGATCAAAATCACATTGGTGAATGATGAAGTGAGGCCAATGTTTGTTTACTTACTTAGGTTTAAAAATAATTAAAAAGATGCTTATCCAAATCTCTAGTGCCCTAGCACATCATTAATAATTACAGAACTATAGTGAATTTCTCTCGTGATTACAGATGTGGATAGGCTCAGCCCATAACAATTGAGCCAGATTTAAATAAACCACAAACAAACCCTCCCCAGTGAAGAAGCTGAAGGGTTTCTAAAACAACTAGGCTTGCTAATCTACGGGAAATGTTCATGATTAATGGGGCTTCAGGCATCTTCTTTATTGCTTGCTGCTTCTGAGCCGAGCAAAAGAAAACCTTATGAATTCCTGCAAGGCTTGCTGTGTCTCTACCTGCTCATGCGGGAGGGCGGGGGAAGCCGAGGAAATAAATGTACAGACTGCCGACCACAGGAAGGTTTCCTACTCAGTTAGACAGATCAGAACTAACTTGGTGGTGGAGGAGCAGCTGTCTCTTGATTGACAGGGGAAAATACCACATACAGATGTCCTTCCATATGGGAGAAGTAAAGAAGCACAGAAGGGTATATAAGACACTCCTTTTGCCAAAACTCAAGATGGGGTTGGGAGACTGGAGATAATCAAAAGCCTGGAGATAATTCCCCGTTCCAGGTTTGGGCAGCAGAGACAGACCTAGCATGAATATATGGACAGGGGATTAGGAACCTCATATTTTTGTTTGTTGCTGTCTGCAGGCCTGGTAATCTCTTTGCCAGTGCTTTGCTTTTCAAGGTGCAGGAGTGAACTATCACCACTTTGCAAGACCTTTGTTGGAGCTGGGAAATGGTCCAAAACTCAGACTGCATTCAAGATGCAATCTGAACGTCTCTCTACTCCTACGTAAAGAGCAGAGGGACACTACACCAGGTGTTTACCAAGTGATTTCCACTGGGAAACAAAACCCCAGCTGCCTCTTGAAGTGTTGACTGAGGATACAATGGAAACAATAGAAGATAATACTGGGGAATCATGCAGTGCTCGTGATTAAAACTCGACCTTTGCCAATGTACAGTGCTATTTGAGATGCCATGATTTCTCCATACAAGAGAATAAGCAACCACAGCAGGTGTCTATGTAAGATGTGTGCCAGCAAAGGTTGACATTTGAATGGCATGTCCCCTATCCAGGGAGAAGATAATATCAACACAAGGGGGAAATTAGTGGTTTTTAACACATGAACTGACTTTTGTTTACAAACATGATAAAATCTTAATGTATACAAGGCAAGTTGAAGGCTTAGTGCATATTAGCTGGATGAGGAAAGCCCAATTATTAACATGTGTTAGAACTGTTTGGACTATCATTTGACTTGTCTACACTCTTGTTAGACGACATTTTCGTTAAGAGGCATTAGTTAACACTAAAAACATGCCTCTTCCTCTAGGGGAGGCATGAAGTGTTCATTAATTCAATCCCCACCCTACCCCTGTCAGATAGGGAAGTACTATCATCCCTGTTTCACAACAAGAGAGACCAAGACAGAGGGAAACAAAGGGACATAAGTTAGGAAGCAGAATTAGGAATTGAACCAAAAGCTCCTCCTTTCCTTGCTTCTTTTCCACCCAGAACATAACAGCTGCAGATCCTGCTCCTGAGAGCACGGAGATAATTAAGCACAAGAGGCCAGAACCACGTGAAGCAGAACGTATTTAATTGCCAGTGGTAACTCTGTTTAGTCCAGTGAAGTATACAGGCTTGCTGAGTCCTACATACTGCTAGGGAGAAGGTGCAGCTCCTGCTTTTCTTTGTTCCTCCTTTTTACCGCATTTTTACCTTTTGAAAGAGTTTATAAAGCCCCTTTTGTTAAGGGAGGATGTATGGGAGTTCTAGGGCTTGGATTCCTTTTTTTATTGGTATTCATAATTAAGAAATGTGGACAACCTGCTGTTAATGATGTGAAAACCAGCTCAGGCCCAGGGAGGGGAAGATTTCCCTGGCTGAGCAGTAAAGAAAGAACAGCAGCGTACTTTTAAAAAGGAAGAGAAGAAATACAAGCTGGTAGAAAGAGACTTATTCCAGATAAAGAAGAAGAGCCATTGTTTAGCCCTCAAAGGCTGGTAGGTATAAAGCCCCGAGTGACAGTATCTCCTGTGAGCACTCAGTGAGAGGTACAGTTGCTAATTAGCAGAAGTCAA